TCCCTCTTGATAATCCCTATAATACTGCCCTATATATTCCCCTATATAACCCCCTTTAGGGAGTTTAGACTATGGCTCATATGATATACCATGGGATTCTTATGCTGGAAGCTGCTGCTCAGGTTTAGGGGCCAGGGTTTAGGGTGGGCCCGTACAACGGCTGAGGGCAAATTTATTTGAAGGGTCAGGGAGTCTTAGCAGTCATACAGAAGGGGAGCTATATTCCCAAAGTGGTCTACTCTAACATATTGGGAACAATATTTAATGGTGGGGTATTGTGGTTTTTTTTATTGAAATAGAGGAGAGTAAGAACCTATAGGCTACAGGTGACTCATAATGAGGATGACTGGGAGACTGTATGGCTTAGGGGCTAGAAGTATAGTCCCCCTTAAGTAGATAGAATATGGCCTTGGGTATATTAAAATGAGATCCCCATCTACCCCATATTCTATCTACTCAAGGGGGACTATATGTTTATTCAGTCGTCCTGACACACCAAGTAGCCTAGCAGCTAGCGGAGCTTGATGTTCAAACCAGAAATGAAGCAGACGCCGACACCGTAAACTCTTTATCTATCCTTGCATGAGCTTCAGCTTACCTGCTAAAATGCCTTGGGGATCCTTTTTTCTATAAGCTTTCGGACAGCAAGGAACGCTAAGATCCTACTTCATGAGCAGAGACGATACCCCCGGGCGCTTAACCCTAGATGTCCTGAATGGGCACGCCTCCCAAAATTAGCGTCCATTCAAGAATTTGCTTGGCAATCTTGCGCAAGCCCGAAACCCTTCCTTATCTGGCTCCTATTTACTTCTTTTCGGTGTTGTTATAGTTTTTGGTAAGGGGTTATAAAACACAACCCAAGAAGGAAACACAGATAGTCCCCTTCCAGTAGATAGAATATGGAATTATGGGGATCTTACTATAATATACCCAAACCAATATTCTACTTAAGGGGGACTATAACCCCTAAACCCGAAATAGTAGCTTCCATTTTCTTTTCCATTATCCCCATATAACCCTAACATAACCCTAAACCCTAAACCCTTAACCCTAAACCCTAAGCCCTTAACCCTACACCTGTAACCCTAAACCCTAAACCCCAGGAGTTTCTAAACCCTGAACCGTGTAGGGACAGCTCTGGCCTGGCGGCACGCGAAGTGTGAGGCCGTCAAAAGTTGCCTCCAAGGATCAGAGGGCCCAAAGGGTAAGGTAAAGGAAGGGTTTAGGGTTTCGGGTTTAGGGGTTTGAGGGTAGAGGAATTAAGCCCAAACACAATGGAGTTTACACTAGGGACCCATCATCCCACCTCTTGAAAACCCAGTTTACTTGTAGTGCAGGGCTTCATAATCCCCTCCCCGAATAATGACACCCCCAACCCCTCCCCCTCATAATGGATACTCCCTCTTATTTGTCGATGCGTCTCGGCATTGCAGTCAGCACTCGTTGCAAGTTCACTATTACCCTAGGGATCCAAAAGCCTAATTTAGGTAATAGCTGTAGACTCTCGAACCCAAAGTAGGTAACATTTGTATACTCGGATCACTAGGCCAGGGTTAGGCTGCAATAGCTTGGGCTCAGGAGCCTTGTTCTCAGCACATATGAGATGGTTGATATCTCCGCGCGTGCGGTGTGCGACCTTGCAGCCGTGACCTGGATCGCCAAGGCTCCTGCTGCCTTGGTTTTAGGGCTTAACCCAGACCCATGATTAATAAACCCCCTCCCCTTAATAGGGATTATAATAGGGATCCTAATATTAAGGCCCTTACAAGGAGGGGGTTTATTAATCATGGGTCTCCATCAGGGGTTAAGGGCCTAAGGGCTAAAGTTTAGGGCTCACGGCTTCGGCGAAGGAGGCTACCTCAAACTGAGTGTGGGCGAGGTCAAGCCGGCCTCGTAGCTCCCGCACCTGTTTTTTGAAATAATATTCCCTCAGGGTCCAAGTACCCAATAATTAGGTACTTGGGATTTGGGTAATAGTAATTATAGTAGAGGTTTTGGGTAAGTATATGATTATTAGGTACTTGGACCCTTAGCGATTTCTCCATGATTTGGCACAGCCATTGCTGCATGCAAGCTTGCACTGGATTCTATTGTACTGTGATTACTTGGATGGTCAGGGAGACGTAGTAAGTAGGTTAAAAAGGGGGATAACTAGGGTTACTATAAGGGTTATAGGGGTTATTCACCCACTTGCTAAATCCCCCTGATCCTCCAAGTAACCATGCACCAACTTCCTTGGAAGTGACTACGGGAACCAAGCTTCCCTCACAACCTGATTTTGAGAGGCCACGCTGCTGCATCACAAGCTCCTATAGAAAGCTGCCTCAAACCATTATAGGGGTTTTATAGGGATTCCTAGGGATTATATTGGGGTTATATATGGTTTAGGGTTTCCCCAGATTAGGGGTACCTTTAATTATTGATTTGTGGCTTGGAAATTGCAGATTGGCGGCTTGACCAACCCTAGTTTGGCAGTTCCCCTCTCATGTTGAAGCAGCCACAACCCAAAAACGCTTCAGGTTAGCAAAGTATACCGGCTTCTGTCGACCTTCCTTCCCGCAAATAACAGGAAAACTCACATAGGCCTCTTTCAACACGACAGCAGTGTTCGTATGGCCTCTTTGGGGCTTCCAAGCTTGTGTCAAGGAGGGTAGGCTCCATTTACCCTCTATATGCCCTAAATACGACATAAGGGGTGAATTATAGGGGGTATAAAGGGGGATGCTAGGAGCTTAGACTATAGACCATATACGTATTCCCCTACTTAAGGGTACAAGAAGTGGCATAGCCAACAACAGGTTCAGGTGATAGTTTCCACTGCATGTCCGACAAGGCTTGTATGACGCTCGCTCGCTTCTCTCATGAGGAGTACATATGTCAAGACAAATAACACATGTGAGGATCCACACCTGGAATTCCCCTGTCTACATCGAAAAGATCCAAAGGGCCTCCTCCGCGCAATGCTCCGTTCGACCAGACCAGTCCGCCGCCTTCGAGAAGAGGACGAGGGTTACGCGGTTTAGGGTTTAGGGTCTAACCCGAGGGACCCCAGGGATCCAAGTACTGGGTTGCTGTTAAGGATTTTAATTCAAGTTACTATGTTGGGAAAACCAGATTAATTTTGATACTATACCCATTATGGGGCAACTTAGTTTAAGTTCCTTAACAGCAACCCAGAATAGTGCTTTGGAATCCAAATGTAGATATCGTTTACGAGTAAATATCTTGAATGACCTTAGGTGGACTGCAGCACAAGCATTCCTAAGGTTTAGGGTGCTTAGGTCATGCAGAGGCTATCGTGTCAACCGCACCGGGTCTACCTGCAGGTCTGTTTGCAAACAATTTCGGGAGTCATGCCCAGTAGTTGATGGGTAAGGGGACTTAGGACTTAGGACTTAGTAAGCATACTTATGGCCCCTAGAAGTCATGTTGTAACCCCACCAGTTATCCCCAGTATGAACAGTCTTACTAGGTCCCCAAACAACCCTCCAAGTATGAAGGTAATTCTTCCAGCGACGAAGCTGTACGTCTTCCCTGGGTCTTGGTAAACATCATAAACAATCTTTAGGGTCCTTGACAGCAAGTAGAATCCTGGCCTTTCCTACTATATAAAATAGTATTGGGCCAATTATCATTTTACCTACGTTTAAGATCCCAGCATAAATAACACTGACTTAAACTGAAAGCCCTAAATCTATGAAGCAACCTCCACAGAGATGTTGAATAAACCTGAACACCGACTTCCTTGCTACAAACACACTGCATGATGGCAATGATGATGTGAACAGGTAGGAAAAGCACGACGTTCATGAACCCAGTCTGGCACTTTCAGGCATGTTCCTTCCACCCTTGCGGGTCACCTGCAAATCTTGAGGGGGGCCCAATATAGACCCCAAAATTTTGCAATCCTTAAGGACCCCCAAAAGGGACCGCAACTTTCTGGAAACTTCAGAATGAGCTTTAGTCTAGACTCCTGGTATCCCCCTTAATAGTCCCTATGAGGCTCCCCTATAATCCCCCATGCAAGCCACCTTTTAGGGGTTCAGACTATAGCTCACATGGTGGTTTCCCAAAGTTAGGGGTACCATTTTGGGGATCCCTATAATAAGGACTATAGTATTTTCGGGTCCATATAGCGGTACCCTAAACCCTGAACGCTAATTAGCCGCGGTGAAGCCCTGAAACCTAAACTCCATGCTTGAAACCCTTAGGGTTTAGGGTTTAGAGATTTTATTCCTCCCCGAAGTCATAAACCCTCTTCCACCATAGACCTGTAAACCGTGCGGCTCTATCAACCTGTGGAACCCTCACCTCCTCAAATCCTGAATCTTAACTCATGTATGGGCCTAAACCCTACGCACACACCCCTGAATCCCAAAACCTTACGCTTCAAAACTCAAGAATCCATAGCCGCAATCCCATCAACACCAAACGCAAACTTTCGAAACCCCTGAAACCTACACAACCCTCAAATCTAGAATGCTCTACATTATCTGTGGATATGGACCCGTCTGGGACTCAACCACCAAAATCCTCAACGCCGAGTAATACTCCAAACCAAATCAATTCCTAAACCTTGCCTGGACCCCAAAAGTATGTAAAATAATGGCCTTTATGGCTGTTATTATGGGTTTAGGGCTATTATTTTACATACTTTGGGGGTTTAGGTATACACCTGTAAATCCCAGTAAGCTCCAAGGCGCGCAAGGCCCTCATACCCTCAGCCTAGATCGTGTACAGCAAAACTCCTCAATCCTAAAGGGACTTTATTGGGAACCCCAAGAACATAATAGGAATACAATGGAACATAAGGATCCTGGTATGTACATTCCTATTATATTCCTACTATTTTCTTGGGGTTCCCTGTTTGGGGTTGCCAAGAAAGTCCCTTCAAATCCAGCAAACCCTAAACCCTAAACCCAACCCTCAATCCAGCATTCTGGCCGCGCGACGCCGCCGCGTCGCTGTAAGGCCATCGCATCTGAATCCAGAAGCCGCATGAAGGACGCTGGCCTGAGATTGAAGGGGTTTGGGATTTACGGTGTATATCCTAAACCCCTGAACCCTAAATCCTAATAATTAAGGGTCCAAGGACCCAAATCATAGGGTTTTAGGGCTCAAATACTATAATGTTAATGGTATTTGGGCCCTAAAACCCTATTATTGGAGTCCTTGGACCCTTACGGCAATATACCCCAAACCCCAAAACCCCAAAACCCTAATAGGACGTAGGGCTTCAGCTTAGGGAGTTGTAGCCAGCTGGTTTGAAAGCTTATAGGGTTCATTATCAGCAACACAGTTCTGATACCCCTAACCACAAACGTAACAAACCTGTTAAAATCAAGATGTTTATCACTACTGAGAATAGTGACAACTTATAACCCCAATCACCTACTAGTAATTACACCTTTACTAGTAGTAGAATACTTAGACCCTTAAGCCTGCAACTTTAGATTGATGACGCAGGCTTTAGATAGTTGAGGCAAAGGGTTAGGGTGAGCGGGGCAGGGGAGGTTGCACATCCTCAACCAATTCCGCACTACTGTGGTGTTTAATGTGGTTTTCGGATTACAAAAGGGGGTCGTATTAGAGCCAAATCAGGTCTGAACGGAATAACAAAAAGGGGGTCGTACTAGACTTTTATCCAGGCTGAACGGATTAATAACAACATAGAAACAGAATCTTGCATGCTAGCTTCAAATCAATTGAAATTTAATTAGAGTTCTACATATTAGGGTGGGTTTTAATATTCGGGGGAAGGGATTTATTCTTATTTAATTACAACTATATCCCAAGCCTTAGGCCAGAGGGCTTAGGGCCCAAACAAGTTATTCCGTACTCGATTGGGGGCCCCCCGGATTATTCAGATCCGTACTTGTTTGGGGGGGCGGGCTTTATAATCAGAAGCCCCCATTAAGGTTTAGGGTGTAGGATTTAAGAAAGAGGATTTACGGTTAATAGGGTTCAGGGTTTAGGGTGTCGCATCGCGTCCCGGGGGGCGGGGGACACTGAGTCTGTTGGCCCATGGCTCAGCTTCTATCCTATTGCTCACGGCACTTGTGACTACCTGTCGGGCCATGGTTCCAACGGTTCCAACCTTTACCTATAAGCAGGGTTTTTAAGTAAGACCAGGTTATATACAACGTCACATTAGAGTAGTGAGAACCAGGTGGAAAATGAAATGGAACGTGGGATCTTATAGGAGTATAGACTCAACCTTTGGGGGCGTGTTGGCTGGATGCCTGGCCCAAAGGGTCCATGTAGCTATATGGAAGATACTTGGGCCTTAAAGTAGGTATATGGGAACCCCATTGGGCCTTAAGTATATACCATATACCTACATGGACCCTGTGGGTGGGGCACGAGGCAGGGCCCTGGTGTTCAGGTGGCCAAGCCCCAGCAAAGATGCCAAACCCGCGCTCCCTGCAAATCCTGAAAACATAGTAGTGAACCCAAAACAGTAGCTTCCATTTTCTTATCCATTCTCCCAATATATACCCCTATAATACTATAGTAGTTTCCAGTGCTTGCAGAAATCTTTTTGACAGGCCCTGGAAGGCTCAAGTCAAAGCCATGCACCAGCCGTGCGCGGGGTTGAGGTTTACTCGCAGTATGCCCAGCCCCTTGGGGAGGTTGATGAGCGCAACGGGGATTTTGCAATGCTGTGGCGTCTGCAAAGCGGGCCAGCACGTTTGCAGCATCGTGTAACTCCTGCACGAAACTGAAAACCGGACGTCACACATCCAAACAGATTCCCTCGGAATTTGGCGTGCTCTTTCTTCTTGCCACTATTCTTCCTTACTTCAGATTTTGAGATGACGCGCCGCCGACTCATAACAACACAAGCCTTGCCTGGCTGCCTGGCATTTGCTCCTACGAAGAGACACCTCCGCTTTCCTGCCGGTAATTTTTCGAAAAGTCCCGTGCATCCACACAAGCAGCAAACGTCCACGCGTCCAGGGTCTGGCAGGGTGCCAGCAACCTGGCGTGAAATCCTCTCGCTTGCTAGGGGATGCGTTGTGCCCAGTCCCAGGTAGGGAACGTGACAAATTCGAGAAAACATAATACAGCATCTTGGATTTAACCATTCTGCCGCTACAGCAACGTCCGTTGTGCTGGCGCGAACATGCATCCCGTACCTGACTTAATCTGACTTTTGCTATGAGATTCGCGGCTCGTCTTCCCGGGAAATGCCTGGCAGCCTCCGGGGTCAGGGGCTTCAGCCGAAAATGCTCAAAGTGTGGAACCCATTTTTTAGAATCGGGTGAAGGGGTGTATTATGCTATATAGTTACAGTTAGACGAGGAGCACAAGCGGATGAGATGGGTAATGCTTTGGACTTTACACTGCGTGTTTACGTAGCGAGGATATTGGCCATCCCAGCCTTTATCACCAGGACCTTGCAAAAGCCATATGTATATCTATAATATCTGTGTATTAGGCGGACTGCTTGCTGGTGGGGGGTTGAATATTTGGGTAAGCTGATTCACCCTCAATCCTAAGCCGATGAAAGTCAAACCTGAAGCTAAGCTGAGGAACCCAGACTTCTCATATGCCAAGGGACGGTGGCAGCTGCACATCAAGATCCGCAAACCTGACCAAACATGCTTCTTTTTTGTGAACCCGAAACCTCAGGCCCTGAACCCAACACCTTAGTGAGCTTGAGTCGATAATTCCTACACAATTTAGTTGACATGGGTTCCTTTCTAGGGACTATGTTAATGAATATGTTAAGGTTATTAAGGACCAAACCCCTATGTCCACTGTTAAGGTCCCCTTAATACGGCTAATATTGACAGTACTTCTTATGAAGGAACCATGACTCCGAGCGCGATGTTAACGAAGAAGTTGGCATTCGCAGTTGTGATTTGGGCTTAAGTTTTGAGTTGACCCAACATAGGGTATAATGGGAACAGGATATAAGGTAGTTTCCCAAAATAACGGGACCCCATTATTTACTTCGAGCATCCCCA